CAAAAATGTAATTAATTCAGAAAATCTTTTCAGGACCCCACCTTGATGTTTCGGGACCCCACTTTGGGTCCCGACCCCAACTTTGGGAAATACTGTCTTAAAGGGTTAGGCTTTAAAGGGTCAGAAATGTTAAAACAACAACGACAAAAAAATCCTCCTAATTTGTTTCTTCAGAGTGACTGAACCACGGATGTGAAGCAGGAATAATAACTTGCAGTCTTAATTTCTCCACTTATGAGAATTAACAAAGTTTGAACTCTTTCTTTAAAAATAAAGAAAATAACACATTAGATACATAGACAACAAACAATAAACATTGTTGTTTATTTAGCAATTTGTTTTAGAATTAAATAAAGTCTTTTAGATATTTGATTTACTGTAGTTTTTTCCTTTCTGTTGTCAAATGCTAATTTTCTACAACATTTTTATTCCGATGAGTTTAAAATATTAAAAGTAAAGATTAACATCAATTGTTTTGATGGTTTCTGGGTTTTTTTCCATATTAAATGAAAATCAAATGTGAGAGCTGAAGCGGTGGACACTTACGAGGCCAGCTGTGTGTTGTTGACCAAATATTCCAGAGGATAACTGCAGCTGAACCTGTACAGGAGACCTGGCAGGTAGCTGATGATGGTCGGGGGATCAGGTGTGTCGATGTAGCCTGATATGCTTCCAATCTGCACCAGAGACCGGTTCCCATAAGCATTGGGTCCGTGAGCTGTGGACACCTGCAGCACATCAGACTGAGCGTGAGTCTCCAGCCCAACATGCAGAGCAGCTGAATGAAATAATAGACTTTAATTTATTTAATATTGTCATCCTCTGTCTCATGCAGCTTGGAAATAAAACATACAAATAATATAAAACATGCGGCTCAATTAGGACTTTAGTGTACGACTTCTGGAAGTGGTACGTCACAAAATGAAGCAACATTTGTAAAAGAAATCTGGATCTCTATAGTTCAYAAACACTTCAGGGCAGAAACTTGACAGAAAGTTTCACAGAAAGTTGGATTTTTACACATCTGAACAGGCCTGATCYGTCCTGTGGTCTCKTATTTCTGAGGCTGCAGGTTTGAGTCCAGGTAGCAGCTGACATAAAACAGTCCCCAAATTTTTAATGTAAGTTTTCTCACTGCAGAGGTCMCTGCAGAAGYGAGCAGSCGAAAGAAGAACAACAATGGCATTTTGAGTTTCATGACTTTTCCACAGAATATCCACCTGACACATGATGACAAACTCTTCCCATCGTTCTGCTACAGATAGAAACTATTTATAAAAATATGTGCAGTTTTCTTTTCTCCAGTGTGTCTGTCACTGTTACAGGACATTCTGTTGTCGTTGCCATTGGCAGTATCACTCCACCCCCTGTTAACAATAGGTATTAATTAGGTGTGACCGATAGCCATGTGATGTGAGCATCAGTCACCTGTGAACGATAGCCATGTGATGTGAGCATCAGTCACCTGTGAACGATAGCCATGTGATGTATTAGTCACCTGTGAGCGATAGCCATGTGATGTGAGTATCAGTCACCTGTGAACGATAGCCATGTGATGTGAGTATTAGTC